TGTCTGCTCTACAGCCGGAACGGCTGCGTAGGAATCGGTCGTTGTGTCTGACTGTGTCTGACTGTCTGATTCAACCCAGTCATAATTAATTAGTTACAGTCCTACCCCGGGTGCGCCCAAACACCCCCCCCAAAACCCCCCTAATATTCAAACCAAACCGCCGAAATGGAGTTTTAATATTAGGGAGGGGGGGGGGCCCTTTAATAATAGGGGGAAACGATTACGTAAGTTAATGGTAAACGACTGCAAATACATGAACAACCTCATCTTTGGCGTTGAGCGCTTGCGCTCTTGCCGAAAATCCCATACGAACGCCCTAAGCCTTAAGCCTTACACCCTATACCAAATCATCTATTCTTTCTTGCTTAGGGTTCTACAAGTACTGTTTTTTGTAAGTTTGCTCTACAGCTTGTTGAAAGCATTCTTTTGCTGAGTATCAGTTACCAGTAGCCGTTTCAGAAAAAAACTCAGTGCTTGTGCTTACACATGCCCGCAAACCAACAACAACAAAACAACAAGACACAAACACAACAGTTGGGCCTTCTCTCTGGATCTTTGTTATTTTGGTGATTCGATCTCAACCCTGAGCCTGAAGCCGTACTAATACAAATGCAGTTCGGGCATTCTCTGCGGATCTCTCTTGCTTTTTTGGTTTTGTCTTCGGTTAAGTGGCTAAGGCGCCAGAAAAGAAGCAATGCTTGAATCCCAAACCCCCACAAAAGGATGGAATCGCCGGTTGGAGCGTGGTTTTACAGGGGGGTGGTCTGTCGGGGGGGAGTGACCATGTACATATATACACATTGATTGTATGTACATGCAAGGCCTGGAACACTAAACTCCAGACAGAACCTGTCAAACCCAGCTAACAGCTGCTATAAACCCATAGATGCCTTCAGCTCAGGGCCCGGCGGGTTCAGGAATTGCGAGGATCTCTGCACCGCGCTGTTTACGCCGTGCCTGTGCAAAAAACGGCCGGAATTGGCTCATGAACAGGTGGAAGAGGGGCTAATTCGGCTTCCGGGCAGTTTCGGAACGATGGTCTGTGCTTGTGAGCGTTCAAGGCGGCTACAGTGACTTCCAGCTTCGGCCTCGGAATGTAGAGTGGCTTCGGAGGGCGGAGTTGTAAGGCTCATACAGCTTCGGGATGCTTCTGGTTTCGAGCTGGTTGCTACATGGCTTAGTTTTGAGGATGCGCGCAGCCTCGGGCTCAGCACTCAGTGCTTGCAGGGTTGAAATCAGATTTTTTTTGGGGGGCTCGGTGCTTGAAAGCTGAGCTTCGAGCTTTCGGGCTGGTTGGGGGCAAGATTCGGCAGGCCCAATAAAGCACGCTTGCTTACAAACCCAATCTCGACGTGGAACCCAGAAAGCCCGGCGAAAACGCTTTCAATGCAATGAATGCTGGAGAGCAAGTCTGCGGTCCAAGCATCCCTATCGTCAATGGTTCCATGACAGGCACAAAAACTGCATCAAGGTTGCCTCTTCCTCTGCTTCTGCAGCAGCCGCAGCCTCTTCAAGCTTAGCTCAGGATTTACTACGGATTCAGGGTCTGCCTGTGCTTCCGTATGCTCCGACCCGTTGTTGATACAAGTAGGCTGGAAATAGAACTCAAAACTACCAGGCTCCTGGGCCGGGGCTGATGGTCCAAATGCAGTCGTAGGAGTTCCACGAGTCACATGTGCGGTGGCAGGTCACAAATTCATCATTGCCCAGCTGAATCACTGCTCAGCGTGTTTTATCCCAACCACGCTTTCCTAGGCACTAGACTGTCGGTCCCTGCAGCTCCAAGCCACAGCGATCGACTCAACCCTGTGACGCCAACCTCGTGTCCAAGCGTAAAACGGCTTGTAGTCAACAAAGAAGCATGCGTCCACTAGAAAACATGGTCTAATGGTAACCCCGCCGATGCCCAGCCATTCCCCATTGCCATGTGGAGACTCGATTTCGCAAGCACCCAGTTAAGACACGCATCAGCGGTATCACAGCAAATCGAAACCAGCACGATGTCGGCAGCAGGCGCTTAAGAAAAAGATCTGTGGCAAGAATCAAACCAGCCATTTCTTATGTAGTCGCTCGATTTCGCAAACACAAAAGCGAGACTCACGTCGGTGGCATCGCAGCGCATCAGCCGAATTAGCCAGGATGCCAAACAGAGCGTCCGAGATATGTAGATTCAATGTAGATTGTATGGCCGGTGACAGCACTGGAGACCGCGTGTGACGGAGAAGGTCTGCAGACGGCATGCCCCACAAGAAAAAGCACACATCCACGTGTAGATATGGCGCTTCTGACAATATACAGTCGCAAAAGCACAGCCAGGATAAACAAGATAACTTAAGATAACCCAACCTACAGCAACACACATAACCAATCCTCCCGTAGATGCCATGCAAACTTCGGTGATGTAAATGCTTGTGTCATATTAAGTTCAGCTTGAGCAAACAAGCCTCCGCAATCTCGAATCGACAGCGAACACGAAACCCAATGTAGGCGCTCGGTGATACGACCCTCCGGCTGCTGCCACCCCTTAAAGCCTGGGATCATGAGAAATGTGGCAACTAAATTCTGACGCTGTCCTTTTACCTGGCTTTGCTACGCAACGCACAGAACCGGTCCATAATCAGTACTTCCTCGGCCTCCTCAGCTGCTCTCTGTTTCGCCCTCCGCTCCTCCTCGCCTGCAGCCTCTTCCTGGCAAGGTGGTTCAGGGAACGTTCAAAAGGTCTGAAAGCTTGGGCTTAAGCTTCAGGTTGCGACGTCAGACCGCACCCGACAAGGATCGTGATGCTACTATTGTCAGTAACGAGGGCCTCGCAATGCCTTTTGACTAAATGTTTCTTACTCTTTCAGACCTTGATGAAAGAGCGATTCAAACTTAGCCGCTGATGATGTGTGTCTATGTATGTTCAGGCGTGTACATATCTGTCTACACAAAACGAGACATACATATATAACTAGAATATAGTTTGACTGAACATTTATGTATGTATATATATATATGTATATCCAGACACATCTGTATATATATATAGATTTCTATACACATGAAATATGGGCGTAGGACCTCTCTGCACCTTTTGCGTGTGCTGCTTGTTCTGTATGAGCACTTAAATGGACAGCTCTATGGGCGGTCTTTGTTTGCCTTCTATGGATCTGGAACGCAACTTTCAAAAAATCGGAAAACTGTGCTCGTGCGGAGCTGGAAACCTATTTCAATTCCTAAAACTTTGGCCTTTGGTGATCTGGAAACCTGTTGAAATTTCTAAGACCATTGAAACTATCAAGTTGAAACCTTTGAAACTTGGCTTCCGGAACAAAACTTTGGCCTCTGGGGACCTTGAAACCATTCTGTGTGTTCTTTTAGCTTGCTTTGCTTTTGCGGATTGTCTCTATGTATGTTCACGTCTAAACCTGTATCTACATGTATCTATAGGCATTTGTTTACAACTATCTATATATGTCTAAATTTCTATGTAAGTGTACCTATCTATGTGTGTATATATATATATATATCTATCGTTCTATCCGTCTGTCCATCTATCCATCTATCTTTCTTTCTATAATATGCATATCTATATACCCATATACACACATACCTATATATCTAGATACCTCCATATCTATATATATATATATATAAATATACATATATATATATATATAAATCTATGTATCTTCCTTCCTATCTGTCTACATATCTCTGTTGACCTTGATACACTTAGACCTGTATATGTATGTGCCTGCATATATTCTAGTTTTATATACAATATGTAAATCTGTGTATCTATGTAGCTATATATGCGCATATCTGTACATCTGTACACCCTTGTCACTACATACCTATGTACTTATGTCTCTGTACATCTTATATCCATACACCGGTTTATACCTACATGTCTGTATGACGACATCAGCGTATCTGTATGTATGTGTATATACATATATGCATAAAAATCTATATATATATATATATATGTATGCCTCTATATCTCTATCCCTATATCCCTATAACCCTATGTATGCAAAACCTTTCGCATCTATTTGGGTCGAGCCTCTTCGACAAAAAGATATACAATGTATAGTGTTCTATCTTGTGCACGCACAAGTCTTCTTTTAAGCGAAACTTGGAGACTGTTGAACGCCGGCATTTTCAACATAATATTCTTTAAGCGAAAACTGAAAATCGTAATCTCGGATTTTTTGCAAGCCGGAAAGTCTTAGTCTTGAAAAAGTTGAGCATTTTGCAAACCTGTTATTTCACAATATTCAACATTTTCTGCAGACGAAAATGTGAACATGGAAACAAGTGAAAAACTGAAATCTCTAAAAAACCTGCATTTCAATTTTGTACATTTCATACGTTTTCCCTCGAACAAAACTTGAAAACTTCAAAACGTTCAAACTTTCAAACGTCCAAAATATTGAACACCTCGATGTGATCATTTGCCCTTGGTTCTTCTCGTCCCTGGTCACTAGTGCGCGACAAGACACAGTAAGTCAGAGCGAGAGCGCGTGAGAGAGAGAAAGCGCGAGACTCGAGAGAGCAAGACAGCGAGAGAGAGAGAGAGAGAGAGAAAGAGAGAGAGAGAGAGAGAATGAGCGAGAGAGCAAAAGCGCGCGAGAGAGAGAGAGAGAGCTGGTGGACATGAAACAGAGAGAGAGAGAGAGAGAGACAGAAAGGGAAAGAAAGACAGAGAGAGAGAGAGAGCGAGAGAGAGAGAGAGAGAGAGAAAGGGAAAGAGAGAGAGAGAGAGAGTGCGAGAGAGAGAGAGAGAGACAGAGATAGAAAGAGGGAGAGCGAGAGATGAAATGAAGAAGACACGAGAAGAGTGAGAATGAAAGAACGGCAAGGGACATGGACGTCTTTCCTTCACCCTGTAATTCTGTTTCTAAAGGAGAGGGCGAGTTTCATACTACTTTGTCTTGTAAGAATAAGCATGCTGATGTCAAAGTTTGTGATGAAGCGGTACGGATGTGGTTGGCCTTTTCGATTACCGTTTCGCCACTTGTCGTGTAAAGAAACGGACATGCGGAGAGGCGGAGAAACATGCAGCACAACAATCATGAGGAATGGAGGGGAGGGCGGAGCATTGGTACGGAAAGGATGTCTTTCTCTTGCCTCTTCTCTTATCCTGTTCCTCATCAGGAGGAGTTGCGAAGTGAAGCAGTTATCCCCGCACCACACATGTCTGGTAACTGAAGCACATAAAACAAACAACTAGGAAGCGCACAGAGGGAAGGAGAGGAGAGGAGAGCTCCTCTTAATGTATGACAAGAGAAACGGAGCACAGGAACCAACACTGTATTCCTCTTTCCCTTTCTTCCTTTGCTCCTTGTCACAACTGATGGAGAAGAAGCAAACAGATAGTTCGAGACAGGGACCTGATATGCACTTTCCCCTGCCACACCCTTCTGGGAATTACTACACCAAAAAGAACAGGGTGAGCAAGAAGACCAAGGGGACCAGAAGACGGACCGCCTGGGCAAGAGAGGTCAGCCAGGGAGCATGGACATGTATCCGACAGTCCGGAGCCGGTTTCAGGTAGTTTCTGCATATGGCTTCTGAACGTGTTCTGACGGCTTCTGAGAATCCTTTTTATATGGTTCCAAGTCAGATGCGAGCCTTCAACTCGCACAGAACAAACCACCGGACACTCCAACACATGTTGATGCGGCTAGTAAAGCGTTTGTGGAATGGATATATGTCACTTGACTTGAGTGTACAGATTACACGCATGTGTGTTTAACGGTTTGTTCAGCAAGTGGTCTCCCCAAACAAACCCTAAAGGTCCTTGTGACATAACCCCATATTTTGTATCTCTGCATCTCTATATATCTATCATCTATCTGAGTTTTGAGGTTGCGATTTGTGGAACAGTCTTTGGGCATTACAGTACAGTTTTGTGCACCCCAAGAACCACCACTGCGGTAGATGTTGGGGGGAGCATATATACACACACACACACACACACACATATATATATATATATATATAGATATATAGAAGCTACCATATTACCATATATATATATATATATATGTATACCTATTTATTTATACGCGCTACCTGCCCTATATACGCACACACATATCCATATATATATATATATGTGTGTGTATATATATATATACGTAGGTATATATACGTAGGCAGGTACGTATGTACATTGCACAAGCACACACGGACGCATGTATGTATCTAGAAACAAGCAAGACTCATCGAAACTTGGCTCGGCAACGAAACACCTATCGCCCCCTCATCCCAACCTCGTTTCCTTGTATAATAGCTGCCAAGCCTGAGCCACTGCATCTGCTGCAGGGGACGCTTGAGACTCCTGGCGCCATGCAAACCGTTCCTGTGAAAGAATTCTGCTCCTCATGTTCGTATGGCTTCAATTTGTACGAACTGTTCTCACCACCTCTTTGTACTGTGAAGGCATTGTACCACACCCAGGCGAAAGAGACGAGGGATCCGTTCCAAGAAATGACACTTGCATGGTTGTCGACGGAAGCGCAGGCGCTTGCAATGCCTCGCTAGGTCCGAAAGCTACTTTACCGTTCGAAGCATATGAACATACACTTCAGGGCCTTGATTGGTTTCTTACAGTAGCTTCCTGGTTTCAGCGGCCATGTCATATTTCTACCTAGTTTTGCACTTCAGCCTTGCTCTTCCATGCAGGTTGCCTTCTGTCTCCATAGGAGGCATGTGCCGTGTCAGAAGCCTGCCTGCAGTTTCTGCTTGACAAAGAAGACTGATATTTACGCGTCGAATAAGTTCAATGCACGAAACCTCTCTAAATCCGAGCCACGAACCCGTGCAATTGCACATGATTCCACATGGCACCTCAACTGAAGCTCATCATCCTGCCTCACCCTCGGCGCGGCGTACCGCTGCGAGCTGGTCTTGAAATAGCGCCTCCTCGTATTCGCGGTCCTGGCGTTTGTGGTTTATAGGGCCAACTCATACCTCATCAGGCTCTGCCAGAAGATTCGGTAATGAAAGTCAACCAGGGCCTATAGTGCCAGGAAGTCGATATAGGGCCCCAAAGACTCTGGATCCACGAATCCCACGTCTCCCCCGCCTGCTGCTCACGCAGCTGCCGGGCTTCTGTCAGCTGAGCCGTGCGCCGATGCCGATGCTCCTCTTGCCAACGCAGTGCCAATGTATGATGTATCCGGTCGCAGTCATGTGGTGGGATGTGGACTCCTGACTGCTTCCGGGAATGTTTCGACCAAGAGGTGTTTGAATCGTTGTGTTTCTCGTTAGGTGCTCAACTTCACGTTGTCAGCAAGCATCTTGATTTCACGACCAAGCCTTGACATCCAATTGCCAGTTTGTTCCGGAACTGTCAGAGGTTGAACTACACATCGGTTCCCTCAGTTATCCCCACGTTCTCACCCTGGTAATTATCCGCCGACCCCGCTTGCTGGGTCGAGCGCCAGGGACCCTCCCTTCCCTTCCTCCCAGGCCACCCTGCCCTCGCCCCCCCCACCCCTTCCCCACCACGCCACCTTCGCATTACTAAAACTTGTCTTTTTGCATGGGATACGCGTTCAACTCGCAAGAATGCTCCGTGCCTGTGACCCCTGCCCATATCCCCTATTCCCACGTGACCCGAAGCGGCCACACCCCCACACTCCCCGCACCCCGCCACACACGGAACCCCCATATTGCCCCCCTCTCCCCCCGCCCGCCCCGAACTAGTGCATTTTTAAAAATTAAAAAAAACTTTCCGCATGGTTCAGACATGACATGAATACGCGTTCGACTCGCAAAATGCTCGCGCCCCATCTCCCCTATTCTCACATGACCTTTTTTGCACGGTCAGAAATGACGCGAATACGCGTGCAACTCGCAAAAATGTTCCGCTCCTGGTCCTGTGACCCCCACTTTTGAAATGACGCGAATGCGTCAATGCACCGCGGTTGTGACCCCTGCCCAAAACCCCTATTCCCACGATTTCCCACACCCGCCCTCTCCCCCCACTCCGAGTAAGTGTCAGTTGTGACCACATGAAGAACTCGCGTAAACGAGCGGGCCTGTTCAACACAGTCGGCATGCATGTTGTCGCGAATAAATGTCTCACCCCCTAAACAGACTCCCTGTGCGGGGTCGGCGGCAGCGGCGCAGCCCTTAAATCGGGCAGCGCTCGGTCCCCGAGCGCGTGCGCCCTGCTGATCCGAGCATTAGGCGACCTGTAGCCTTGCTAGCGACCGTCGGTGCCGCCGACCCCACCTAATTTCGAGTTTGGGCGTAATTTTGGGGTAGCCGCCAAAGGACGCGCATCGTGAGCATCAGCCGCCCCAGTCCGGGACCCGGGGCGCGCATCATCAGCATCAGTGCGGTGCTGGGCACACGGGGGAGGGGGGAAAAGGTCCCCCCCCATCCTTGTCAAATGTTGTTCTAGATCGTTCGTGGTTTGAAGCTCAAGTTTATATCGGTTTGTCCGGGCTGCTACCTGAGGTGCCCGCCGGTGGGCGCAGCCCCTAGAATAACCATGGAATAACCCGGTGCAAGCCCGGCTAACTCCGACACGGGTTGGCTGGACTTATATACTTTTTTACCCGGGGTTATAAGTAGTTATATATTATATACCTGTTGTCTTAAAACGATAAAAAAGGCTAAACGGATTTAACCGGAGTTAAGTGTTTTTGGGTTTGAATTGTAAAAACATCGAGTTAAAGTGCACATGAATTCAGGAAAACAGGGGCTTATATTGTGAGTGTAAATATGGGCTTTCATGGTTTGTTTGTGGAACCTAAGATTCTGAGTTATTTTTGGCTCAAGCGGCCCGGCAGTGTGCATGAAATGGCTGCCGTTCAGAACAGCCGGTGGCCTGCCGGCCTGCCAGCAGTTTTTGGCGCAAGTGAAGCGACTGCCGAACCCTGATCGGGAGCGGTTGTGCCTTCGTCCCAAGAGATGCGGAGACGGAGCTGCAGACGTGGCTGCTGCAGGCGACACAAGTGCACGCGCACTGCAGCAGCGAGTGCGAGAGCTTCGTTTCAGCCTTGGCATCTGCCGCAGTATTTCGGCCGCCGGCCAGGCTCCGAATGGGAGCAAGGCTTCGGGATCTGCAGGGATGAGATGGCAAAAGTGCTACACAGCATGGAGAACAACCTGCACAGCGGCAGCTTGTCGTGGAGGGCTTGCATCTGCAGACGGCGAGAAAATACCGTAGGCAGCCGCATTTTAAAGTATCTATAGGAAAGACTGCTTGGCAGGGACCTTTCGTGGCCTGCAGAGAGCCAAAAAGGGCTCCAGACGGTTTCCTATAAAATGTCGGAGGCCAGTTTGCAGCAAGCCAGGCCACTCACAGCGTGAGTGGTTTCGTTTCCCTGAAAGTGCACCTCCGACACAGTGTGAGTGGCCGGCTTTTCTCCCTCACAAGCAATGTCGGAGGAGTGTCGGAGGCTGCGACGGAGGCCCCGAAGCATCATTTTGAAAACGTCGAAGGAATGTCGGAGACCGTGTTTAACAGTCCAACAGTCCCCAAACACAACTTTGCCTGCTTCAGTCAACCCGCTCCCAAACAGCTTTCTGCTGCCGCCGAGGGGGTTCCAGCTGATGTCCTTAGAGCCTGCGGTGTCCTTTAAGTAGCCTGGCCACAGAGACGGCCTCCCAACTGCAGCTGGCAGCCGCTGCTTTGGCAACTGCAAAGCAGGAGACCGTCTTGCTGCAGTCACAGCAGGAGGCAGAAGCAGTGGAGCACACGGACGCTGCGCCCGAGACCGCAGCAAACGACACTTCCGGGAAGCCGGTTGTCTTTTCGGAGTGAGGAGGAGACCTGTGCTGGGTGGCACAAGGCTGTGTGCAAACCGTGCTCGGACTTGCACGCACCTGCAGCGCAGGCTGGGCAACGACTGGAGAGAGCTCTCCCACTGCAGGGTTTCTTGGGGTCTTGCCGAAGGCGACGCTGTGACTCTCGTGCGCTGAGCTCAGCCCCAAAGGGAAAAGGGACCCAGGGGTTTCGGTCACTGGGGACAAGGTTTAGGGGTTTGTAAGGTATAGGGCTATTGCCTTCAAATGCTGATTGATTTCGCCAACTTTTGCTACATGCTCACCCGTAAATGCTGGCCTTGCCGAAGCTTTTTGCAGGGTTAACTCGCTTTTTGGTTTTGAAGCATCCAGGAATTAGGTTGAGTTAGCCGGACATATCACTAAGCCCTGAAGCTAACTCAACATACATACAGTTATAAGTGTTTATAATTCGGGGCTAACTAAGGGAACTGCTGTGTAAGAACCTTGCGCCCCAGGTCGGGTGTCCTGCTCCATCTGCACCTCGTCCTGAAAGTCCTTCATCCATAAGCACTTGGTTGGGCTCCAGCTATAGCTTAAACTGGCCTAAACCCCCATGCACCGCCCCCCGGCACGTGCGACATCCAGAAAGTCATGAATCAGGACGCCTTTCCGTTGCATCTTTGATTCGGGATTGGCAGACATCTCAACTGACTCAACCTCTTGTCACAAAAATGCCTTGCGATTATAGTTAACTACCGTGGAGCTATATGCTTTTGATGCCTCTGCGTGCGAGTGCATGCCTGGATGCATGCATGTGCGTGCATGGGTGCAAGTGTGCGTGAGCGCGCTCGTGGGTGCATGTGTACGTACGCGTGTGTGTGTGTGTGTGGGTGTGTGTGCGTGTGTGTGTGCGTGTGTGTGTGTCTGTGTGTGTCTGTGTGTGTGTCTGTGCGTGTGCGTGTGCGTGTGTGCGTGTGTGCGTGTGTGCGTGTGGGTGTGTGGGTGTGTGGGTGTGTGGGTGTGTGGGTGTGTGGGTGTGTGGGTGTGTGGGTGTGTGGGTGGGTGTGTGTGTGTGTGTGTTTGTTTGTTTGTTTTTGTGTGTGTGTGTGTTTGTTTGTTTTGTGTGTGTGTGTGTGTTTGTTTGTGTGTGTGTGTTTGTTTTTGTGTGTGTTTGTGTGTTTGTTTTTGTGTGTGTGTGTGTGTGTTTGTTTTTGTGTGTGTGTGTGTTTGTTTTTGTGTGTGTTTGTTTTTGTGTGTTTTTGTGTGTGTGTGTGTTTGTTTTTGTGTGTGTGTGTGTTTGTTTTTGTGTGTGTGTTTGTTTTTGTGTGTGTGTGTTTGTTTTTGTGTGTGTGTGTGTGTGTGTGTTTTTGTGTTTTTGTGTGTGTGTGTGTG